GAGGTGACGTAACGCGAATCATATGATGAAGGAGGCGAGCGTATATAAGCGACGGATCGCGGTGGGATGACAGTTTTGGAGATCTCTTCCTTCCGTGCGAGTAGAAACCAATATGTTCCTGGTGAGTGCAGGGTGGTGGGTGCAGAGTGCAGGGTGGAGGGTGGAGGGTGCAGTGTGGAGGGTGAAGGGTGGTAGGTGGAGGCTTTGTACTCACTCCAGTCTTTGATTTCCTAGGTGACGGTACTGTGCTTGGTCGGGGTGGTGCTGGGTGCACCCCAGGGGACGCCCGGTCGTCTCGTCGATTCCGCCGAAAAGGATGATCCCTTCTTTGATGTGAGTCTATTACCGTTTGGCGGATTCAAAGGGCCGGATTTACTCTTCTCGCAATCCTTTTGAGGGAATAATTTGTTTTTTGACGGTGATACCGTGTGGTGCGGCTTAGGCTTAGAATCCTTTGGTTTTGCCGAGGAACTTGCTTCAGGAAAATTAATCCCCCGCCTTTTCGGGAAAGGCGAGGGATCTCCTCTGATCAAATGAGATATTTTGGAATTAGGAATAACTCTTTGACAACTTGCCGAGACATCCGTATACTTCAGAGCACGAGAGCCACTCTTCTATTTTGCCTTTCGTTTATTGCCTTTCCAAAACACGTTTTCCCTTTGGTTCAAATTTGGTTGAAGCCCCCAGCAACTAGGGTCTGAATGCATCCGCCACCCCTCCCCCTCCTCCACTGGGCGAGGAGAAGTAAGTCCCCCACCGTTCCGCTTAGCGAAATAGCTTAGTTCCATTGGCGAAACTATGGCTACGCCACTGATCAAAGGGAGTCAACATTGATATGGAAATACAACTGTCCCCAATGAATAAAGACCTAATAATAATAAAGAATAATACAGCTGTTCCCAGGTCTGTTCCAGGTCTGGTACGACTCGTACGCCACGCCATGATCCCTCCCGTTCTTTTTTGGTTTTAGCTGTTACATCTACTTATCTTTAATGAAAGAGAGCGGCCATTTAATGAGAAGCAACCCGTCTTTTAGTAGGTTAGTTGGTTGGGGCAAATTAATTTCAAGTCCACCTATTAAAAAACCTACCAAATAAAGTCTTACAATGACATCCGGATACTTGAGAGCAAGAGAGCCACTCTTTTATTTTGCCTTTGGTAAAAAATTTAAACGCGCCCTAAAAAGAACACAAAAAATTGCCTCGGATCAACCGCAAAACAAATCAAGCGCGAAAGAAGCAGAGACCCGAAACTCGTTCACTATAAAATAATAATAATTAAAAAGTATTCTATTAAAAATAAAATAACAATAAATAAAAACCCACTTTACAAAAAAAAAAATCCCACAGCCGAATCCCAAATACGGCTACGAATACGCCGTGAACGACGCCCTGGAGCAAGTCTTCATCCGCGCCGCCGAGCAACGCGACATCGAACAGGTCCAGGGCACCTACAGCTACGTGACCCCCGAGGGCACCCTCATCACCGTCACCTATTCCTCCAATCCGGGCACCGGCTTCGTCGCGGAGGTGCAGCGGCAGGACGGCGTCGTCGACATCAAGCCGAGGCGACAAGAATCCCCGAACGTCAACGACATCAGACCCGTTCCGATCGTCAGTTCCTTCCATTCTTATTTTAGCATTTTTTAGCGTTAAGTCACTAAAGTTTTTCGTTTTCTTCTTTTAGTTATTAGTTTTTTATTTCTTTTGTTTTTAATTCTTGCTCTTTGGTAATATTTTCTTCTCACACTTGTGAGGTTCGTCTGTAAGGCCTGGGCGAAGTCTGAGTTCATTCATTCGCGGAATACGGTATACGGTACATATAAGTCGTAACAATATGACGTCACGACAATGGATCCGCGTCGCAGAAAAATTCGCAGCGACCAGAACTTCATTCCGCGCATTCCCCACCGAAAACGGCCGCACGCGACGCCGCCATCACGGCCGCTCGGGGAAACCGTCTCGTCCGAATTATCAGCGGGAAAAGGAAATGAGGAATTACTGGATCCGCTCAGATCATTATTTTAAAATATTATAATGATTATATTCTCCATCCATGATTTATTCCGTGTTCATTAAAACTTTAAAAAGCGCTGAACTTTCCATCTCTTCGTTAGGCGAAGATTCTTAGAAATTCCCGACGAAATTCCATGCATGAGGGGACGGGAAGAGGCACGATGACGTTTTTCGTCTGTGTCGCGTCGACGTCACGTTTTGGTCCGGTTGCACAGGGCGACATATTTTTTTAAATATAAAGATGAGAGGGAAAGGGGGGCGGATGAAAGGTAGGATATTGTGAGAAATTTTCTGCCCGAATGAGAAATTTTTGTAGTTTTTATTATCATGCAAAACGGTCTGAGCTTCCCACGTGTGAAAAAATGCAAATTGTACTGTATAGTATCACGTCAGAGATAATGTACACGGTTCATTCGTCTCCCGATTTCGTGGAAAAAGGGGCGAAAATCACTCCACTTTCTTGGAGATTTATTTCTCGTCTCATCCGTTTGTTTCATGATGAATATTTGTTGTAAATCGTCAGCTTCAGAGCATCCAGCCGGCAAGGCTCCGACCGGTCGCGGTCGTGAGACGGGTGGAGCAGCCACTCGCCGTCCAAGACGGCCAGCAACAGGCCACCCGCCAGGACCAGCAGTTCCAGGTCTTCCGCCAAGTGCAGCCCCTGCCACAGCCCCTGCCCCTGCCACAGCCCCTGCCACAGCCCCAGCAGGCCCCCACGGTTGCCAGAGCTAGGTCCGCGAGCTCTCGGGGTCAGCCGCTGGACATCTTCGGCAGCGGGTCCTTCATCCGAACCGACAACTATCAAGTTCAGCTCTGAGTGACGAAATTCCACGGTGGGTTTCCCGTAGGACTTTCCTTCTGTCGTGTCTCGCTGTTGTCATGTCTTCGGAGATAAACTTATTCTTTCACGTTCCGAGTCACATTTCGACTAAAGTTTCACTCAGAAGTGAACAATTCCAGGCAATCGCCTTCCGCATTCCAACACGCAAACAAACATGAATATCCGAAAAACGACTAAACCTCTGGCAACCCTGCTCGTCTCTCTCGACTCTCGACGACGTACCAAACTCGACTGTACTCCAGGCAGGGAAGGCAATCATCCTCGATGACAGAACCGGATGAATCGAAGAGAATGACACTTTTGTTCGCATGTGGACAGGGCCCATCGATCGATCGATCAACTGGCATCAATTTCAACTTCACCATATTAACTATATATATTACAGTGAAAACTCGTTAACTCGAATCCTGATAAGTCGAAATTCC